CAGCCGTTATGTGACAGAGTGATGGTCAATTAGCACATTCCCTCTTTATTAGATAGGGAATATCACATTATTTTAAAAAATGAATCTACCCTCTCTACTAATATGCATGTGATCTTGGGGATCTCTCCCTGTCAATCCGTGCACATCGCCTCAGTTTTAAATTGCTGAGTAAGTTATGTGCCTCCTCATTCAAGATGCAAGGCTCAGAGAGGAGGTCTTGTGCAAGAAGGGACAGTAACTTAGAACTGCTGAGTGGAGAACCCATTCTCTTAGCACCCAGGCCTGGGCACACCCTGCAGGAGCTTGGACAACTCTGAATGGGGGTGTGGCTGAGGACCAGGCCTTTTTATTTCGGCGGTGGGGGGTGTGGGGAATGCCAGAGGGTGGGCAGGTCCCTTCCCCGTTACTCCTCCCCCACCTGCCTGGGGTCCAGCGCACCAGGACCCAAGAGGAAGTCCTCTAAGCGCTTCCTCTTTTCTTGGCCTCTGGGGACACTGGGGGAGGGGAGGAGTTGTGAAACTGAGTCCTTCCCTCCTCCCCTCCCCCCCACTCTCCCCCCTCCCCGCCCAGGAGGGGGGACCTGTCAGCTGGAGATGGCCACGCAGCTGGGGTCAGAAAAACAACTTCGTTAGCATCCCCAGAATCCCCATCTCTGCCCTGTGCCACCAAACCCCTGAGCTGGACATTAACTGCCTTTAGGATGGCAAATCTCCCAGGTCACCGAAATGAGAAAACTCCACCCCTCATCAGCTGGTGCGGCCATCGCCAGCCTCATCTTCCTCCTGTCTGTGCCCCGGCTTCAGGCACCAGCCACACAGAAGTGTTTATGGTTCATCAAACAAGCCAGGCTGATCCTTCCTCAAGACTTTGTTAAAGCTGTCCCTTCTATTCGGAATGCCTTTTGCCATGATCTTCTACCAGCATCCTTTAAACCTCAATGGATCACCTCTTTCAAGAAGTCCTCCTTGATGCCCTCCAGGCTGGGCCAGTGTCCCTCCTACATGGTCCTAGGCCTCTCTCTACCACAGCATTTTTCACTCCGTATCTAAGTTATTGGTTTAAGTTTTTGTCTCCTTAATTGGATTGGATGTTGCTTGAAGGCCAAGACTATCTTGTTCATTGTGTGTGTGTGTGTGTGTGTGTGTGTGTGTGTGTGTGTGCTCCCTAGCAGAGATGCACATAGTAAGTTCTCAATAAATATTAATAGAATGAATCAAAGAATGAATGGCTTGGCTCTCAGTGCTATCATTCATAAACCGTGGGCTTCAGTTTCTTCTTCATCTATAGAATGAGCAGGTGAATAGCACCTGCAGGGAACTTGAAAAATGTAGAATAGAGAGACAATAAACAGATTAACATATACAGTGCCTGGTGGTGACAAGTTCTCTGGAGAAAAATAAGGCAGGAGGAAGGGGCAGAGAAGATGGAGGATGGAGGGGCTTTTGAAGAAGTGGGTTAGGGTCCAGGACCTGCCTGGGGCTGTTGGGAGTGTTCCAGGGGCTAGTCTCCTCAGATTGTCAGTTGCCTCTTGGAAAACGAGGGCAGTGGTGACCTCCTGTAGCTGTGAAATGAGCACTGGCTACTTTGCAAACAAAAGGGGGAATATCTGAGCCCTGAAGTAATGATCGTGGCCCTCTTCCCTATCCCCCATCCTGTTTTGAATATAGAATAATCATCAGTCGTCCCTATGAACTTGAAATATGAAATGCAAATGCCTCTGAAAATAGGAAAATATAATTTTGAAAGAGCCAGCCTCTGGTCCCCTGTAAAGTGAAGTCTGCATTGTTTCTTCGCTCCCGCCCTCCCTCCAGGGCTGAACCCTGGATCATGTCCTCACTCTCTCCTCCTCAACGTCCAGAACACACTCACTGAATTTGTGTCGTCATTGCAAGCATAGCCTTTGGAGACTCACTGGGAACTCAAAGTCATGGGTTTGGTTCCCAGCTCTACTGCTTGCTGTCTGTGTGACCTTGGGCAAGTGTCTTTACCTCTCTAAGCTATCCATTTGTAGTCACTCCTATCTCAAAGAGATTAAATGAGTTGATGTGAGGGCACAATAATAAGAGCTTTTCATGCAATAGTTCAGTGACCTGGTGAGGAATTTTCACTTTGCACATGAGAAAAGAAAGTCACAGTCCAACCTCGATGCTTTGCTTCCATTGTTTCTCCCACTCCTGCACCCCTGTCCAGTGCACACCCAGAATATTTCCTGACTCTTTTCACCCTCTCTCTAAACGCCCTACCCAGCGCCAATTCTATCTTGTCCATGAAGTTTCTGATTTTAAAAAATATATATTTTTATTGATTTCAGAGAGGAAGGGAGAGGGAGAGATAGAAACATCAACTATGAGAATTATTGATCAGCCGCCTTCTGCATGCCGCACACTGGGGATCAAGCCTTTAACACAGGCATATGCCTGTGACCTCCTGGTTCATAGGCTGATGCTCTAACACTGAGCCATGCCAGCCAGCTCTGATTTTTTAAAAACTGACTTTATTTTTGAATAGTTAATATATCCAGGTGGCTCAAAGTTCAAGAGTACAAAGGGTGTACTAGAACCAATCAGCCTCCCTCCCTCCTCTGCCATCCTGCTACACAGTTCCGCTCCACTGGGGCCACTTCAGGGGAGACCACCCTGTGTGCCCCTCCTGACTCACACCAGGCTGTGCTGGTGAATTCCCACACGTGTTTGTGCTCTTGTTCTATGCAAATAGTAAGATACACTAGAAGCTATTGTACACCCTGTCCCACCTCCACTTACTAACTTGTTCCCTATAGGGAGTTCCTTCATTCTTTTTAAGAAAACATTTTTTATTGAATTATAATTCATATGGCATACATTCATCATTTCAACTGTACAATTCAGTGATTTGTAATAGATTCACAGAGTTGTGCAATATACCCACTACCTCTGCTTTACTTTTCTTATAATACTCATCATCCTTGAATGTAAGATGCTAGTTGATTCTCACAATGACTCATTGAGGTAAATACTATTATTATTCCCATTTGACAGATGAGGAAACTGAGGTCAGAGAGGTGCAATATCACTCAGGTGCAATATAGTGGTAGTTTGAACGCTAATCCGACTCCAAAGATGCAGCATTTAGCACCACCTCTTGTGATCAGCTTTATTCCCCACGACAATAAATGAATGAATGAATGAATGAATGAATGAATAGACAAATGTTTGCCACCTCAAATACTGGTAAGGCAGTGTTTTAAAATAAAATTTGTAATTGTATAAATATTCTTTGATGCTAACATATGGTGGTCATTACCCAGGGGTATACATTTGCCAAAACATATCAAGCTGAATACTTACAATGGTGTGTGTTGTTTATAAAAACATTCCAGAGTCCGTTGTTAGGAACTTTGGGAACGTGTACAAGGATTTCTATCGCAGGAAAAATCAATGGGCAGAGGGGCGGGGGGAGCGGGCTGTTAACAGGAGAATGTTCCCGCTATGAACATTCACTATGTCATTATCACAATGACAAACTTGTGGGAAAAGACACAGCTGATGCTGGGGATGACCCCCTTATGTCCCCTGAACCCGCATCTCTCTTCCTGCTGGCCGACTCCCCGCCCCTCAGTGTCCAAAGTCCTCTGAACTGCCGGAAGCCCGCAGGGAATGAACCAGGGCGGTTCCTGCAGGGGAGGAACTTTGCATGGCCTTTGTCTAGCCGGGGTCCTGTGCCAGAACCCGAGGGCCTGGAAGGCTTGGGAATGGCTGGGGAGATGGGATTGGAATGGGGAGGAGGGGGAGAGGGGAATGATCAGACTGCTGGGGGAAGGGGCGACTAGAATCCTGTCAGCGTTGGGTTAGAATCTGGGATTCCTGGAGAACAGAGCTGGAATCTTCCAATGGGCTGGGTTAGAATCCTGAGGGGCGGATTCAAATCCCTTGGAGCAAGGTGGGGATCTGTTAGGAGCGGGTAGAGAATTCTGGGGTTAGGGTTATAAATCTTTTTCTTCTAATATATTTTTATTGATTTCCTAGAGGAAGGGAGAGGGAAAGAGAGAAATTGAAACTTCAATGATGAAATGCCCTAGCTCTGTGGTCGGCAAACTGCGGCTCACGAGCCACATGCGGCTCTTTGGCCCCTTGAGTGTGGCTCTTCCACAAAATACCATGGCCTGGGCGAGTCTATTTTGAAGAAATGGTGTTAGAAGAAGTTGAAGTTTAAAAAATTTGGCTCTCAAAAGAAATTCCAATCGCACTGTTGATATTTGGCTCTGTTGACTAATGAGTTTTCTGACCATTGCCCTAGCTGGTATGGCTCAGTGGATAGAGCACCGGCTTATGGACTGAAGGGTCCCAGGTTCCATTCCAGCCAAGGGCACATACCCGGGTTGTGGGCTCGATCCCCAGGAGGGTGCGTGTCAGAGGCAGCCGATCAATGATCCATCTCTCCCTCTGCCTTCCTCTTGGAAACATATACAGTATATATAAAACATCAGTGGGCTGCCTGCTACCTCCCCACAACTGGGAACCGAGCCCGCAAACCGGGCTTGTGTCCAGACCAGGAATCGTACCCTGACCTTCTGGTTCATCGGTTGACACTTCGAGTGGGATTCAAAATCATAGGGGGCAGAGCTAGGGTTTTTGGGGTGCAGAGACGGGGGTGGGTGTTAGGGTTCTTGGGGACGGGTTGACATCCTGGAGATGGGTTTAAAACCTTTGGGGACAAGGTGAAATAGACTCATTAGGAGAGGGGTTAGGGTCTTTGGGGGAGGGAGATGGGCTCAGGATCTTTGGGGGAGAGGTTAGAACCCTCGGGGGCGGGGTTGTTATCCTCCAGGGCCTAGGGTAGACTCCTGGGGGGTAGGGTTAAAAATCTAGGGTGGATGGGGTTAAATCCTTGGGCGGCCAGATTCGGGTCCTGGAGGTGGGGTGGAGATTAGCATCCCGGGGGCGGGGTTAGGACCTTCGGGGCGGGGTTAGCATCGCTCCAGCGCGGCTGGCTCGCCCAGATGACCTGTGGGCGCCTCGTTGTCCCTGGTTCTAGCCCCGGCGGACCGCCCGGGCCCAGAGGCTAGTGGCGGGCCCGGACAGTTCGGATCCAGAGGAGCTCGGAAAGACCGCGCACGGAGCTCCCGAGGGCCGCCCTCCGGCTCCCCAAAGTCCGCCGCTTCCCTCCTGGCCCCCGGAGGCTGCGGAGCTGGGGGGGCGCTCGAGCTGTGAGGACCCCGGCTGCCCGCGGGAGGAGGAGCGGGCGCCCAGGTGAGTGCGCGGCGGGGGACGGGGGCTGGGGACCCCTGGGAGGCGGCCTGAGGCTCCGGGGCTGCGGAGGGAGCGGGTGGGGGCTGGCAGGCTCTGTGCAGCGGGAGGGAGGGCCGTCCGGGAGCCGCGGACGGGCCGTGGGACGAGGGCAGACCGGGCAGCGGGCACCCAGGTGAGGGGGGCAGGCTCAGGGCCACCCCGGGAAAGGTGGACGAGGGGCGCTCGGGCCGCCCAGCGCCTTTATGCTGGAGCTGCCACTTCTCTTGGCCGTCCAGCTTCCCCTTCTGCAAAAGAAAAAACTTAAAAAAAAGAGGAGGAGGGAACGGGCTCAGCGAAGCCCGGGCCGGGGAGCCCTCACGGTTCCCAGTGGGGGTGGGTGACGGTCACGGAGGGTGGGCAGCGGTCGTGGGGAATGGGGACCGCTGGGCAGAGGCGTGACGTGCCAGCCACACCCAGGCGGAGTGCAGCTGGGAGCCCTCACTGCACCCTCCTTCTCCTCCTCCTCCTCCTCTCACCTCTCCCCCCTCCTCCTCCTCCTCCTGGGTGCTCCTCTCCTCCTCCTCCTCCCCCTCCCCCTCCTCCTCCCTCTTCCCCTCTACTCCTCCTTTTTCTCCTTCTCCTCCTCCTCTGCTCCTCTTCCTCCTCCCACCTCTCTCCTCCCCTCTTCCTCCCCCCTTCCCCTCCTCCTCCTGGGTCCTCCTCCTCCTCTGGGTCCTCCTCCTGGTCCTCCTCCTCCTCCTCCTCCTCCTCCTCCTCCTCCTTCTCCTCCTCCTCCTCCTTCTCCTCTGTTGGGCCCTGATCCCTCCCAGGTCTTGATCAAACCCCAAAACCTCATGGACTGACCACAAGGTGCCTGTCCCTTCACTTTCCTCACTCTTATCTCCGAATTCCAGTTTCTTCATCTGTCAAATGGGGCTGTTCATCCTCTCTCCCGAGGCTGCAGTGAGCTGGCTGTGCCAGGCCCACAGGTGAATCCAGTTTAGCGTCCTGGTTAAGGAAGCGGCGCGGGGAGCCACCTGCCAGGGGGACTTGGGGCCGGGATTTGGCCTTCCAGTGCCTCCGTTTCCAGAACTGTAGGATGGGGGTAATAACAATGGCTCCCGCCAGGGTTGTTTTCATTGATTTGAGAGAGAGAGAGAGAGGAGGGACAGGAGAGAAACATCGGCTGGCTGCCTCCTGCAAGTCCCTCGCCGAGGCGGGGATCCAGCCTGCAACACAGGCACGCGCTCTGACTGGGAATCAAGCGCCGGCCTCTGGGTGGATGGGGCAAGGCCCAGCCCACGGAGCCACAGCAGCTAGGGCTAACAGGGCTGTTGTGGAGATTAGATTGAGTCCCTGAAGGAAAGCTCTTCAAGCACCGCCTGCCAGGTTTATATGCTTGAAACATGCTAATTGCTGTCGCAGCTCTTACGGCCAAGCCCGTGGTCCTCAGCGCCAGGGGCACACCAGCATCGCCCGGAAGGCTGGCCAGAACACAGTTCTGGGTCTGACCCCAGAGTTTCTGACTCGGTAGTTACGGAGCAGGACCCCGAGAATTTGCATTTCTAGTAAGTTCCTGGGGAAGCTGAGGCTGCTGGTCCAGGGACCGCGCTGTGAGAACCACAGACAGAGGCCTCCATAAATATCAGTTCCCTATCGCGTGGCTTTCTCCTCGCCGATCGTTTGTGGGGGCTGGGAGGGTAGAATACAGACAAGGTGAAAAGAATAATGTATTAACTATCCCAGCGACCCACCACCTAGAATTAACAAATGTTAGCCTCTTGCCATGTTTGTTTCAGATTAAATATGAAATAAGAGGTAAAATGGAAGCCTCCCCACCTTGTATCCCCTCCATTCTGCTTCCCTCTCCCTCCCTAGAGGACTGTCGGGAATTACAGTCCTTCCAGCCTGTGCCTTTATAAATGTACTGCATGTACATGGATTCATAAACAGTACATAGAATTGTATTGTGTAGTTTAAAGATCTACATAAATGCTATCTAACTGTTAGATTCTTCTGCAACTTCCCCCCCCCCACACACACATACACACACACACTTCTTTAAAATATATATATATATATATATATATATATATATATATTTCTTTATTGATTTCATAGAGGAAGGGAGAGGGAGAGAGCAAAACATCAATGATGAGAGAGAATCATTGATTGGCTGCCTCCAGCACATCCCCCACTAGGGATGGAGCCCACAACCCAGGCATCGGCCCTTGGCCAGAATTGAACCCGGGTCTCCTCAGTCCGCAGGCCAGCGCTCTACCCACTGAGCCAAACCAACCAGGGCCACACACACACTTCTTATCATTAAGGCATCAGGGTCTGGCCAGGACGAGAAAGAGAGGTCCAGGTCATTCTAAGTGGAGTCCCGGCAGGTGGCCACCTCCCGTTTCTCACTCCCTGCTGAGGGACAGGCAGGTGGTTGCAGGTGTTCACCGCAGCAAACAGCGCTGCGGGGACCAGCCTGGAGGTGTGGCCTCGGGCTCCTGGGCAGCTGTTTCTTAGGGAAATTGCCAAGACCCCGGGTGGCTCCCCGGAAGGCGCACCTCTAGCCCTCTCCTTTTGTGGGAGAGGAGGATTGAGGCCTGGAGGGGTCACCCAGGGGTCACCCAGGGGCAGAGGAGAGAGAAGACTCTAGCTCTGCTGACCTCCCTGCTCTCTCAGACCCAGGGCCACTGTCCCCAGTCCCCTGTGCTCAGCTGCAGGAGAGCAGAGATCTCCATCTGCCTCTTTCGTTGTTCTGACGCTTAGTAGACTATGGGTGCATGCTTAAAAAAAAATTTTTTTTTTTGAATAATAAGCGTTTTAGTTTATTTTTATATAGTCTTCTTTCCTGTGCACTTTTTATTTAACGTAGTTAGTAAAATGCTGCATACGCAATGTTTATCATACTTATTCACTTAGCATTGCATTGTAAGCATTTTTTCCATGTCATTAAAATACCCTTGAATTTTTTAAGGCTGCATAATATTCCACGGTTTGGATGTACCATATTTTGTTTAACCATCCTAGCAAAGCACTTTTACGTAGTAATATTTTTAGGCGAAATTTACATAGCATTATAAAATTAATCATTTTAGAGTGAATAGAACAGTGGCACTTAGTACATTCACAATGTTGTGCACGCACTGTCTTTATGGAGTTCCAGAACATCTTCATCCCCCAAAAGGAGACACCATTCCCAGTAAGCAGTTATTCCATGCCTTCTGCTCCCAGCTATCGGCAACCACCAACCTTCTTTTTTTTTTTTAATTAATTAATTAATTTATTTATTTTACATATTTTAATGATTTTTTTTGCCCCCCTCCCTCCCTCCCCCATATCCCCTCCCTCCCCATAGTTTTATGTCCATTGGTTGTACTTATATGCATGTATACAAGTCCTTTGGTTGATCTATTATCTCCCCCAGATCCTCCTCTCCTCCCCGCTGTAATTTGACAATCTGCTTGTTGCTTTACTGTCTCTATATCTATCTTTTGGTTCATCAGTTTATAATGCTCTTTATTATCCACAAATGAGTGAGGTCATGTGGTGTTTCTCTTTCATTGATTGGCTTATTTCACTCAGCATGATGTTCTCCAATTCCATCCAGGTTGCTGCAAATGATGAGAATTCCTTCTTCTTTATGGCAGCATAGTATTCCATTGTGTAGATGTACCATAGTTTTTGGATCCAATCATCTGCTGACGGGCACCTAGGCTGTTTCCAAATTCTGGCTATTGTAGATTGTCACCAACCTTCTTTTGCTACCTATGGATTACTTTCTCTTGGGCACTTCATAAGCGGGATTATACACATGTGATCTTTGGCGTCTGGCTTCTTTCACTTAGTAGAATGTTTCAAAGGTCAACCATACCATAGCGTGTATCAGTATTTCATTCCACTTTATGGTTGAATAATGCTTCATTGTATGTGTACACCACATTTTGTTTACCCACTCATCTGCAGATGGAAATTTGCATGTTTTCGCCTTTTGGCTAGTGTGACAAATACTATGAGCACTCTTTCAGTTCTCATGGGTAGATACCTAGCACTGGAATTGCTGGGTCATGTGGCAATTCTGTGTTTAACTTTCTGAGGGATCTCCAAATTGCTTTCCACTGTTTTACAGTCCCATCAGCAATGTACAAAAGTTCCAATGTCTCCACATCCTCACCAACACTCACTATTTTCCTCTTAAAAATAATATTTTTTTACTGATTTCAGAGACAGGGAAGGGGAGAGAGAGAGAGACAGACAGAAACATCAATAATGAGAGAATCATCCCCTACTGGGGATCAAGCTCACAACCCAGACATGTGCCTTGACCAGGAATCAGACTACAACCTCCTGGTTCATAGGCGGCACTCGGCCACTGAGCCACACCAGCCGGGCTAAAACTATCTCAATGATTATAGGCACCTAGTGACAAAATGGCAGAGAAGCATGCAGACTGGGGCCTGGTCCCAGGAATGCTTAGTCTTCCAGGCTGCTGTCTGGGGTCCTTACCCCAGAGATAGGGGAGAAGGTCATTTGCATACAGGGGACTGAACAGGGCTTGGACTTTAAACTCTTCTAGAAATTGAGTCCCACCGGGGCACAGACATGCTGTCTCCTGAACCACTGTATCTTTAACACCCGACACCTGGCACATAGTAGGGCCTCAAAAAGATTGAACACAGGAATGTTAACAACCTCTCCCCTTCCTTGACTGAGAGGTCTCAGCGCACAGGCATGTGTTAGTTGGTCCTACACAATGATTCTTTTTAATTCGTTGCTAACATTTAAAGGTGAGACAGCCCACATAAAGGCTTTCTGTCTTCTCTCGAAAACCTGGGAGAATTATCAGTCCTGAGACTATGGCCTCCGTCTCCATGCTGCTCTGCCATTCTCTCAGGACAGCATTGGTGAGGCTGAGGAGGGACTGTCCTGTACACTGCCCTGAGCTGTCCAGTTGGCACCACCCTTGCCTGGGGTGCTTTCCTCATGTGGCCCTGTGGGCTCCCACACCCATTTGAATTTTC